ATAAAATAAAAGAACCGTACACTGCGTTGGAGTCCACGGTGGTTGCACTCCACAGAAATAGGTCTTGCTGGCGAAAATAATCTGAGGTCTTGCTCTGCGAGTCAGCGCCGCTCTGCAGTTCCGGGGTCACAGATGCCCCACTGGGGAGCACGGCTGGCTGTCCAGCCCCCCCCCTTCCTGCCCCACTCCGCCCCAGGCTGAGCGGGAAGGGGTTCTCGGGCCCTCGGCCTGCAGCGCCCAGCGCTTGGTGCAGACTCGGAAGTCATCCCCGGGCACAGCACACACACTTCCTTTCGGTGGCTGCCACTTCCCCTGTGGTCACTAATTTCTGGCTGGCCAAGACTCAAAGCAGAGAGCAGGTAGCGTGTGTGTGTGCGCGCCCGCGTGCGTGTGAGTGTGCGCGAGCAGGGTGGGGGTGGGGAGGGGTCGTCACTTGCAAAGCAAGATGAGAATAAAACCGAAAGCAGCTCAGTCGCAGTGGTCAGGCTCCCTGCTCAGCAAGGCCTGGTGACGGCGCTGCTTGCTTTGTGGCCCAAGACCCTGGCCCTGGGCAGATGTGCCTGCTGACGGCCTCCTGGAGATGAGGTGCAGCTCGCACAGCCAGAGCTGGAACCAGGCCAGGCCCTGACCTCCTAGGCTCTAAGGCCGAGCTTCACCACCATGCGTGCAGCCTGGCCAGGAACAGTGGGACCACGCGCCTCCCGCTCCCGTTCCGGGCCCTCAGCTTGTTGCAGAGGAAGCCAGCAAATTCCATGTGAAAAATACTGTGTGTCTTCAAATTTTTAAAAATGTATGGCTTTTTCTTTTTGGTACCGGGGATCAAACTTGGATCCTTGAGCTTGCGGGGGCAGGCGGCGGAACCACTGAGCTCAATGCCTGACCTTAAAATGTCTGACTAAAAAGAGTCAGCTTAGTTAATAAACTAAGCTAAAATAAATCTTACTTTATAAAAAAAATCTTACTTTATCAAAAAACGCATTACAGGGAAAGACAGCTTGGCCTATGAACCACCCCACATCCTCCCCCTCGCTTTGAACGCACTCATTCCGACCTCCCTGGCACTTTCTGTGGTGGCTCTGGAGCCCTCTGTCGTGAGGGTTTGTAGTTGGGCTGTCCTGGCTTGATTCAAAACGTTTCCCTTTTGGGGGTCCTGAGGAAGAGCCAGAAATCCCAGGGCGCCAGGTCCAGAGGATAAGGTGGACGAGGACGCACTGTCGTGTTTTTAGGGCCCTGCCTTTCCGCAGGGTGGGGCTTGGAAGCACCGTTTGCCGTATTTTTTATCACACTTGGTAAAGAGGCTCAGGAAAGAGGGCTCCAGAGCAGCTTCAGAAAGTGGCCCGGATGATGGGATGTGCGTACACAAAGCCAGAGGGAGGGCGCTGAGGGGACTGCATGGCAATGTGTCACTTCCTGTAATAAATTTTTAAACCTCTAAGCCTTCCCCGCTGTGTTTGACCACCCCTTGTATAAGCTGTGACTGTTCAGGAGGCAGAGAAGCAGCAGAAGGGCCGTCAGGCGACGCTTCCTCCTGGGCTGCTGAAACCTGAGCCCTGTCCCGAAGCACACAGCGGCTTCCAGTGGGAAGCTTGGTCCCATCTGTCTGCTTCCCTCGGTGGGGAGATAACACCAGTCGCGTCTCTGCAGCATACACGGCGCTGTCCCGTGGCACGGCCACCTCCGGACAGCTGTTCCACACAAGGGCACCATTGTCTGGGAAGAGCCGGTGTCACTTTATGGGCAGGGCTGGCCTGGGCGCATCTGTCAGCAGCTGTGGTGAGCAAGCCCGGCTGGCCACAGACCTGCACTACTGGGGTGTCAGCCAAGCCCCGCTATCAGCTTGGTGGGGGGCGGGTGGTGAAGGATGCAGACAACGAGAGGTTTTGTTCTGCTCTGCTTTTATCAGGGAAGGGGAGAGTTCATGGGTCGGCTCTGGCAGTGTGCTTAGCGCGTTCCAGCCCCTGGGGAAGGGTTCCAGCCCCTGGCCGGCCCTTTCCCTGAAGGCGGCAACACGGTGATGGGGAACCGAGCAATGATTCTAAAATGAGGAGGATTTTCTCTTCCTCAAGGATCTCATAAAGATGATTACAACTTCTTCACACCCAAGGGCCGTACCTACTTCAAGCTGCCATGAGCAAATGGGTTCCTCCACTAAACTATTTTTTGGCTGTGGACATACTGTATTTTGAATTCAGAAAGATATTTCATAAGATATCTTTTTGTGTGTGTGTGGTAGGGCGGACTGAACCCAGGGCCTGTGCACTGAGCTCCATCCCCAGCCCTTCTTATTCTTTATTTTGAGACAGGGTCTCACTAAGTTGTTACATTGCCCAGGCTGGGCTCGAACTTACAATCCTCCTGCCTCAGCCTCCCAGAGTGCTGGTGTTACAGGTGTGCATCACTGTGCCTGGCAGCTCAACTACTACTTTTAGTGTACAGTGGGGAATATTAAGTATACTCATGAGACATTTTCAAATATTTAAAGAGAGGGATAATTCTGATACCCTACAAAATAAATTAAGTGAGTATGATTAGAATGTTTCTCTCACTCTATCCTACATATATCTTTTTGTGGAGATTATGAAGACAAGATCTCCCGGGAGGAGTTTATTAAGAAGCCACTTTTTTTTCTTCAAGAAGAACAATGAAAATTTATTACAGCTGGGCATGGTGGAGCATGCCTTAATCCCAGCACTTGGGAGGCTGAGGCAGGAGGATTGCTTCGAGTTCAAGGCCAGCCTGACCTACATAGTGAGACCTTGTCTCAACACCCCCCAAAACAACAATAATAATAATAATAATTCCATACAAAGGCACAGAAGGAAGAGGAGCCTCCTCGGGTAGGAAGTAAAGAATGTATCCGCATTTGCTCAGAGACAGCTGTAACTGCCTGACTTAGTCAGAAGGCAAGTTTTTCCTGATGTGTACAGATGAGAAACAAACAAACAAAACCCAGCGGCTTGGGACCTGGCTCTGCCTACTAAACAGGCCTGGCCTCTTCCCTCACCACCGCGCTGATTGAGAGAGAGAAAAGGGCCAGGGGTTTAGCTCAGTGGCACCACCGCACAAGGTCCTCAGTTTGATCCCCAGTACCCAAAAAACAAAAAGAAACAGAGAGAGAGAAGGTTCCATCAGGAACTGGTCACACCAAGGCATCCGCAGCTCTGGGCCGGCAACCAGAGGTGCGGGGAGGGTGCAGTGCAGTGACAGGCAGCGGCCCACAGGCTGGCGTGTTCTGCAGCCCTGGACAAGACACTGCCACAGAGCTGTGAGAGGGAAGCCGAGAGGCCCCTGTGGGTCCCCAGCCCGCTGCCGGATGGTGTGAGGACCAGCAGCTCTCCTGCATGTCCCCTCCGCCCATCCCCTCCAGATCACTTGATCCCAGGAGGTCAAGGCCAGCCTGGCAACATAACAAGATCTTGTTCTCTGTCCTCACCAAAAAGAAAGGAAATTATGATTGTTTTCATTAGGAATGTTAAGTGTGGCTAAGTTTAATAAATGTCCTTTGGAAGTGGGAACTGTAGAGTGAAGTGACGTGATACCTTGTGTCTCCTTTAAAGTACTCTGGGAAAAATAACAAAGCAAATGGAAGAAAATAAGACTGAGCTGGATATGGTGACACAAGTCTGTAATCGCAGTCCTCCAGGAGGCTGAGGCAGGAGGATTCCAAGTCCAAGCCCAGCCTAGGCAACTTCGAGGCTTAGTGGGACCCTTTCTCAAATAACTGAATACATATATACGTACGAGCTGTCAATAAAGAGCAGTGCAAAGGTTCTATATTCAACTCCTAGTACCAAAAAAGAAAGACCGGCCAGTTGGTGAACAAAGTGGTGAGCATGTGAAGAGTTCATTATATTAAACTCTCTACTTTAATGCATATTTTTATATGTTTGTGATTAAAAAGTTAAATGGTTATTTTTAAAAGAAATTTTTAAAAATGCATCATACCAACACTCAGGAGGTTGAGTCAGGAGGATCTCGAGTTCAAGGGCTGCCTGGGCGATAGATATAGTGAGTCCAAGGCCAGTTTGGACTACAGACTAAGAATTTGTCTCAAGAAAACAAAAACCTAAGACGAAAGCAAACCAAAGGACCAGCAATGTCGCTCAGTGGCACCACACCTGCTTGGCAAGCACAAGGTCCTGAGTTTGAGCCCCAGTACCTGCCCACCCCAAAGAAAACCAAAAATAAAAACTAAGTCAGGCATAGGGGCTTACATCTATGTTCCCAGCACTCAGGAGGCTGAGGCAGGAGAACTGCTTTGAGTTTGAGGTCAGCTTGAACTACACAGTGAGACCCTGTCTCAAAAAATAATAAATAAAATTAAAACTATATTATGACAACACTCTTCAAAGTGATTCCCTCACAAAAAATAAGCAGGCGGGCCAGGGATTTAGCTCAGTGGTTCCGCTGCCTGCCTCGCAAGTGCAAGGTCCCAAGTTTGATCCCTGGTTCGAAAAAAAAAATTTTTTTTATTTTGAGACAGAGTTTCACTTAAGTTGCCCAGTCTGGCCTCAAACGTGATGCTCCTGTCTCAGCCTCCCAAAGTAGCTGGGCTTCCAAGTTATTTGTGTTAATTATAGTAGTGGCTGACTTTTTGCCTTCTTTAAAACCTAAAAGCGCACACTAGGCAGGCTCAAAAATGCAGTAAACATAGGTTTGTGCTGATCTACACACTAGCCTCGTCTTAATGTTGTGTGTCAAGGAGTTATAAAACCGAAGATGCTAAATGCCCGCTGCTCCTGTACCTATGGACCTAGAAACTACTGAAGTTGGAAGGCTTTGAGAATCAGCAGTATCTCAAGATCATCTTGGGGACCCCCCGGGGGTGATGGACAGAATTCCACGCTGAGCTTGCCATTTCTCAGAGGGAGAAAAGGAAGCCACAGGTCTGAGCTACACGCGTCACCTCTGCCCGGGCGCAAGAGCCACTGGGCTCCTGGCCGGCTCCGCCCATCCCGGGCCACGTCGGCGCCCAGGGTCGCACGCGCTTGCGCACTTACTGTCCTCGGGCAGGCTGTTCTCGCGCTCCTCCCGCTCCATTTGCTGGCACCAGCCCTCCATGCGGTCGCGCTCCGCCTGCAGCAGCTTCAGGAACCAGTGGCCGTCCCGATGGCACACGGACCGCTGCACGGCCTCCAGCGGGTCCTCCGTGATCGAGTCGATCCAGGGATCCGGAGGCGGCAGAATCGACGGGTCAAAATCCACGTCGAAGTCGTCGTCGGCCGCGCAGGCGTGGTAGTGGTTGCCCGAGCCTTGGATGCTGACCGTGGAGGTGCTGGCGTCCCGGGAGAACTGCCTGGCCATCGGGCCGGGACACGAATTGTCCTCTATGGATTCCAGGGAATTTTCCAGGTTATCGTGGAAGTCCAGGTCCGCCTGGACGGCTGTCGTCACGCTGTTGGATCGAGTGAACCTGCGGAAGCTTGAGAGAATGGAGAAAGGAGATTTAGTTTGGGAATATTTTTTTTATTTTGTTTTTTTGGGACAGGGTCTCGCTGTGTAGCCCAGGCTGGCCTCGAACTCACAGTGATCCTCCGGCCTCAGCCTCCCGAGTGCTGAGATCACAGGCGTGCGCCACCACGCCCGGCAGCTCAGGGATATTTCTTGAAGCAAATCTACGGTCTACTTTTCTTGTGTGACGTAATCTTCTCATTGTGTATGGGGCGGGGACCCTTGATGTTGGCCATCCTGAAATTCAGGGTGCTGATGGTGAAGGACACAAATTCCACCGAGTCTGTCGGTGTGGCTGGCTTAGAAATGAGGGGAAAGAGCCAGCCTGGCCGAGATGCTCGGGACCCTGCATCTTCCCTGGGGAAATTCCTCCCGAAGACTTCCTGACAGCAGGCTGGGCGCCCTTCACACGAGCGCCTTCGGTGGCGCTCGGGCCTGTCTGACGTTGGTTCAAAGCCTCTAGGGGGACAGTCGTGGTACAGGGCCCTTCTCCCCAAGTGATAAAAGACAAAGCGTTAACAGAGCCCATCCAGGCTCTTCACAGGCTACACATGGGGTTCAGTTTCTCACCCCAAGAGTGCAGTTGGGAGGTGGGGCGGTGGGAAAGGGCTAGGGAGCCATGGATTCCTTTTGTCAGCCAGGGGCAGGGACCGCGTGGATCCGACGTCATTTACAGCGCATGCACACGCGGCTTCCCTAGCCTCGGGAATGGGCAGCAACTAGGCCACCAAAGACGCAAGGTCGTGTGTCCAGTATCCTCTCTGTGTTTATTTTAAGGTCACTTCCTGGTGTTTTATTTTACCTCACTGTACTACTGAGAGTTGAACCCAGGGCCTTCCCACTAAACTATACTGTGAGCTTTTATTTTTAGGCAAAGTCTCGCTAAGTCATTAAATTGCCCTGGTGGGGTTCAAATTGGAGAACCTCCTGCCTCAGCCTCCCAGACTGCTAGAGTTACAGGCGTGTGCCACATTGCCTGGCATATTTATTGTGATGAAATATACATAACATACAGTCTACCACGCTGGCCATTTTCAAGTGTACCATTCAGTGGGGTTAAGTGCGTTTACATCTCAGTGCAACCATCACTCTGTTCACCTCCAGAACTTTCTTTCGTTCTCCAGCCGAACCTCTGTTCCCAGAAACACTGAGCCCCGGCCCCGCCCCACCCCGCCCCGGCACCATCCCGCTTCCTGTCTGTCGAGTGCTACTCTGTGTCCCTAGTATAATGAACTCCTGGAGTGTCTGCCGTCCCTCAAGGCCGTACACGTTGGAGCCAGTGTTCGCGTCCGTCGCTGAGGGTGCGTGAAGGGCGGGTGGGCGGGCAGTCACCCTGTGCTACAGCACGCGTTTTCCATGTCCGCCTGCTGACCCGCTGCGACCTGCTGGGAAGTGTGCTGGGCACACGAGCGTGCCTCTCTCTTCTTGAGCCCCTGCTCCAGTTCTTTGGGGCATAGACTAGCAGTGGAATTACGAGATCTGATGGCAGTCCTTTCTCACTTTTTTGAGGAATTAGCACCCTTTTATGGTTCCTCTCTGGATGTCTCCCAAGACCCTCACACACTCACAGGTGGGGCTTTTGGAAGGCGTCTTGATGGGGGGGGGGGGGGGTTCATAGCTGACCCACTGCTAGGAGGCGGGGCCAGACCGGAAGAAGAGGGGCCTGACCGGGAGAGGCGGTCATTGGGCACGGCCTGGAGGGTTTATTTCCCTCCGCAGCTCCTCCCTTCCTTCCTCTGCTTTGCCGCAAGCAGCTCTCCTTCTACAGGCCCAGCTGCAGCCGTGGAGCCTGCTGAGTATGGACTGAACCGTGAGCCAAGTAAACCTCACCTCCTGTAAATTTCGGGTGTTGGGCCCCAGCAGCGAGGAAAGTGACTAAGACACAAACGTGGTTTTTTGCACAGTGGCTGTAGCATTTGGCATTCCTGCCACCAGGATTCCAGCTTCCCCACAGCCTCCTCAGGGTCTGTCCCGTGTTTCGCCAGTGGACATCCCAGTAGGTAGGCGGGGTACATGATCGTGCCATTCCAGGACAGCCTGCCACAGTGTGTTTTTGATTAATCTTCCATAATCAACAATGCCAGCCTCAAAGGACAGCGCACTAAACGATGTCCACATAACTTCAACTCTACCAGATTATGTGCTTGTTCTTAAGTATCCCAGACAGCTCTACGCTAGCCAATAAAAACGAATAGTCTAGTCCAGTGGTAGCGAACCTGTGGCCCACCTGCCGCAGCAAACTGTTTGTGCTACTGAAAGCTCTGAAAGGTTCACCATACTGGTCTAGTCTGTCAAAAATAATGGGGAGCGGGCTGGGGATTTAACTCAGTGGTGTCACAACTGCCTCGCAAGCTCAAGGTCCTGAGTTTGGTCCCTGGTACCAAAAAAAAGGTGGGGGGAGGAAAATACAAGCAAGTTGTGTAGAAAGATTGGGAGCCACAAAAAAGGAGAGAGTACAGTCATCTCAATGAATCCATTCTTGAGCTGGGCGTGTTGGCGCATGCCTGTGATCCGAGCACTTGAGAGGCTGAGGCAAGGAGGGAAACCACGAGTTCAAGGCCAGTCTGAACTATGTAGCGAGGCCCTGTCTCAAAACACCAATAAATCAATCAGTCCATTCTTTCCCCCCCAAAAAGCGGCTGTAGTATTGACCAGCATCAGTTGTCAGGATGGACAAGCGACCACCTGTCTTAGGAAGACAGAGCAGCTGGAGCCAGCCTGTCTCACCTTGGGCTGTTTTTAAGAAAATGCATCTGTGGAAAATATCAGGTCTGGTTCCTCCTGTTAAGTTCTTCAGTGCTCTAATGGTCCCAACATGAAATCTTTAAAAATCACATCATGTGGAAATAAGTCTGCAAGCCACGTTCCAGGGCTCTGGCATCAGCAATGGCAGGGAAAACACTTTTCCTTCACGCTGCTGCCAGCCCCACTCACTCCTTGGTACTTTGGCTGCCTCCCACCGTCCCGTCCACTCCATGCGAAATGTCATCCCCAAGCTGCGTGTGCGTGAGCTGGACGCTTCGATTTGTGGCAGCTGACACTGTGGCTGTTCCACTAACACACAATCCCAACCACGAAGACATGCGGCTTCCCGCTCCAAGATAATGTGCTGCCAGGGGCGTCCGTTTCCATGTCGACGGAGTTCCAGGCCCCACTGCCCTGCCAGTGCCACAACCACACCCACTGCCAGGAACGAGCCAGGGGCTGCTTCCTGCTCCAGTCCCTCTGCACGGAGCTGCTAGCAGCACCATCTCCCGGTGAGGGAGCCCCTGACTCATCCACCTTCTTAAGAAAAATGACTTGGCAGTAGATTAATAGAAGTCTGCAGTGTAGTCACCCAGAAAGAAATAAAAGTAAAGGACAATGGAAATGGTTTGGGATTAAGCGCGGTGCTTTGAACTTGGGCAGCCCGTCCAGGCTGCTAGTGTCTATCAATTAAGTCCCAGGCAAGTGCTTTCTTCTGCCAGCATTTTCAAAGAAAGTTGTGCTCCCCCCAAAACTGTGTCAGGCCTTTCATGTGGGTCCCTTCTGGGGCAGGGTGCAATCAAGTTGTGATTATTGTTTTACATTTTTGATAGAACACACCAGGGGAGTGCGGAGTCACTGCTGTATTTTAAAAAGGACGATCAGTGGCCGGGAGCCCAGTTTCCAGGCTGGACGCTGCTTGGTCCTCATGTGCTTCTGAAATTGTGGCTTCTGAAAAAGCTGCCAGTCTCTGACCCAAGGAGCAGAAAGCCATGGGAAGAGAGACTGGGGGAATTGGTGTGACCCCTGGGCCCTGTCCCTTCTAGCACCAGACCAGTCGCTGCTCCCCAGCACCTCTGGGTTGCTTGGTCCCCGCTGTGAAGCCAGGTGACAGTTCTGGTCAGAGGATTCTCCAGCACCCCCTCCTCGGGCACTGACAGGCCTGTTCTTGTGCTGCCCACTTCACAGGGCTGCAGGAAAAGAAGATAAGTGGATGGTTAGGCGTGGTGGCGCACACCTGTAGCCTCAGCACTCAGGAGGCTGAGGCAGGAGGATTGCTGTGAGTTGGAGTCCAGCCTGGACTACTTACTAAGATTCTGTCTCAAAAAACAAAAAAGTGAACAGAAGCTAAGTGCACACTCAGCATCTTTACAACCCTTTCCTCTCCTTTTTTTTTTCAGTGCTGGGTCAGAACCCGGATAGTGCGCAGTGGGCAAGCTCGTAAGCCTGAGCTGAGCCCCTACCGGGTTTGGAGACCAAGTCAGGCACCTGGCCCCTTCCGCTCCCGCTCAGTGACCCAAGGTTGCTGTGGGGCGGCCGAGCCTTAGACCTTTCCCACAGAGCTCTGTTCGGGCTGCGGGGGTTCGGGAAACAGGGCCTCTGGACTCCTTGCCTGGATCACGAAGACCGGTCGGGAAGGGGCGGTGCCAGAGCAAGAACTGCTGGGTTTACTCTAGGGGCACAGGATAGTGCAGCCCCGGCAACAAGGTGCACGCCAGTCATCCCAGGATCTGGGAGGCTGAGGCAGGGGGATCGAGAATTCACACCCAGCCTGGGGAACTTCCAAGACCTTGTCTCAGAAAAAGTGGGAAGCTGGGGGGATAGGTCAGTGTGAAAGCCCTGTGTTCAGTCCCCAGCAGGGCAGTAAATAAATGAACAGAGAAGCAAACGAGCGCCTGGTGAGCTCGCACTGCTTCTGTAGTAAGCGGAAGCAAACAACAGTTTCCTGTGTAAAGACCCTCGGCCTCTGGCAGTGCATTTATGAAATATGAAGGGCAGAGTTGTCATCCGATGCTTCCTCAGGCTCGCAGGCAGCCTTTCTCCCTTCAGCGAGAGCGGACCTCACGTCTGTGATGGCTTCGGCCTGGAGGCCTTGCATGGAGCTGGACACAACGTCCTCAAGGAGAGCATGGCCCAGAAGGGGCCGCTGCGCCCCCAAACGGAGCCTGAGGTCGCCCCTTGGTGCCAGCCCCAGGGCAACTGACAGGGCCCGGGAATCCTCGGAGT